TACGTCTACCTAGCATAGTTGGCAACTTCGAATTGAAGTTGTCAACTTTATATTGAAGTTCATAACTTTATTTTAACGCTTGAAGTCTTTACTGGAGAGCACTTGCGCACTGCGCAAGACGATGTGCAATTGTTATGAAACTCGTAGTACAATGCTTACACTTACCGGTACCAGAATCAGTACTGAAAATACGATTATCGTCTGTACTCATACCTAAATCTTGAATTTGTCACGTGTTGATTCGTTTTTCTCAGCAAGTTTTCTTTAGAATCTTCCATAGCAGTGACAAGAGTATGACATAAACAAAGTCGACGGTGTGATCGAAGGACAGAAAGGTCAAGGCTGCATCATTGAATGTTGATAAAAGCTGGGCTGGCTAATACAATGTTAACGACAGAGCAGCCACGAAAGATTAAAAAATCCTCAATGTGAAATAGATTCGATGAGTTGCAGAAATAAGACAACCACGATTCGAGAAGATACCATCCCTCTCGCCCAAGCTTCGCTCCTGAATCATGCTTCGGAGCTGGGCGGTGAAGTCCGGAGAGAAGACATTTTGTTTAGCGAGAATCCAGATTTGGACAGTAACAACGAACACTTTTTGGAAGCAAACAATTCTGTTGGTAACACGATAGAATCGATTATTCAGGATGTTTGTTCTGTAGTTACGTCTAGCGATCCTACTATTCAAGATCCCGACCGGTATCGTCATTTACAATTGAATTACCACCAAAACAACCAAGAAGATGCTGTGAGCCCAAACAACATTCAAGCCTCTAACATAGATGCATCAACAACAAATGGCGCTTGGGCTGCTGGGATTGTTCTAGGCTTCCTTATTGGAGGACCTTCCGTTTCGGTGGCATTTGGTGTTGGGGCCGCCTTCTACTCCAAGCAAGAAGAAGGCGTAGCAGCTGATATCGCCAAAACATTTGGCACAGTCGCCATTTTTTCTCATGAAAAATTTGGACAAGTGATTCAGAAGCACGACATTGTAAATAACATATCCACCAGCACCGTTGCTATGTCGAAGAAGTGCTTCGATGTGGTACGAAACACCATCGACCAATTCTTAAATCGGTACCCTAGACAATCCAGCACAAATGAGTCAGATAGTATTAATTACTCGTAGTTTAAATCTATCATTGAATATTTTTGTTTAGTAAGAATATAATGCGTATCTATTCACGACTTTCAACTAATGCCAGTTACATGTAACAGCTTCCCTTACTAATCGTAACACAAAGAAGTGTTCGATAAAACACCTTGATTTGAACTTCCTATGGAACGAAATCGTATTCAACTGCTTTATTGGTAATTCTTTAGATGATAAATTCATTTCTTCCGTATCACACTCAGTCCATCTCTCATGGGTAATACAAGAACCTCGACTCTATCGTCTCCAGCAATAGCCGAGTTGAAGCGATGCATAGTGGTGGCAAGCTTTCGTGCTCTGCGGTTCTTTCGCAACTCTGCTTTTTCCGAGTCCTCTCTGTCCGAAACTGAAACGAATTCTCCTGTGCTTGCTTCCAAGACAAGCCCCTTCCATAAAACATTATCCACCACAATGAGACCACCGCGATTGAGCAATCGATCGCTCTTTAGGCAGGCTTCTACGTACTCAAGCAGTCTTGTCTTATCAGCATCTACAAATACCAGGTCAAAAGGCGCCATGGCATGACAATCGCTACCATTAGAAAAGTCACCTGACGCAATTGCCTCTACGGTAGCCAAGGCATCTGTAACCCGTACGAGATCACATCGAGCAACGCCACCAGCGATAGACATAGATACCATATCTTCCTCTACTTCTTTCACCGCATCTTCGCTGCGAAGCGCGCAAATCGCCTCCACTACTTCCTCTCCATCAAATCCATACTTTTCGATTACCCGTAGGTGAGCAGCTGCTAGGTTCAATGCTCGGTTATCTCGCTCCATTGTCATCACGTACGGCCCATCGTTACTCTCAGAATCTTTGTTTGGAGCAATTCCCAGAACCTGACCCACATTCCTTGCACCCTCTAAGAGACATGCAGTGGCATAACCAGTAAAAGTTCCAAGTTCTAGAATACGTCCGTTACGTGTCATGGATGCGAGTTGTGTCAACAGTCGCCCCTGCGCAGCTCCAGAAACCATATGAGCGCCACTTGCCAAATAAGCCTGCGTGTTCAATTCCATCTCCTTATATATTGATGGAACTGGCGATGAGTGACCCAAGCTGTAATCATCGAGATTATCGTATCCAGCTTCGTTACTTTGTTCTCCTCGAGATTCGGGTCGCTTTCTTTCAAACAACGTATCGCCATTGACAACCCGATTCTTGCATGCAGTCGAGCATGTTCCATGGTACGTTGTTCGGCAATTCTCGCATTGAATCATTCGTTTGTGGCAATTTTCGTTCCGACAATTCGAGACCAAGTTCGTTGGTGCTCCACATGTTATGCAAGTACCTAACTCGTCATCTGTAATTTGACGGCCCATCCTCCCGTCGAAGACAAAATTGGTACCTTTGAACATGGATTCTTCTCCCTCTTTCTTTTCATTCAATGTTCGATCGTAAGCGATAATACCACCGGCGAGTCGAGAAACGTTGGTGAAACCCAATTCTTGTGTCAAGTAAGCTCCAACTTTGACACCTAACATGTGAAAACGAAAATTAGATATCAATGATCATACAACCAAAGACATTTCGAAAGTGTGTGGTTAGAACGATTCAGCACCTGCAGTCAAGAATACAATGAACCTCGCGCGTTTTTAATATCAGCCATATGTACATACAACGAATTCCCCCCGTGCAATAAGTCATAATAGGGGCATCCTTCGGTGTATCTGCCAATCTGTCCTTCAAAACATCCCAGCTGTCTCGAAAATTTTCTGTGTCCAAGGGCTCGGCACCTTCAAAGATTCCAACGTCAGTTTCGTACGTGTTGCGGCAGTCAAAAACAACAGGAACATCCGACTTCTCCTCTATCGGTTTGTCTTTAGCTTCTCGAACTTTCTTGAGTTGTTCATGCCATTCTAAAGGCGGCATATCGTACCCAGCCGATTGCCAATCCAAGGGCTTGTCGAGACCATCCGCTACCACTTGACTTCGCACACGAATGTGTAGATTGCGAAATGGAGGAGCCGGCTTGCCATTTCTCGGGGCCCCTGCCACAGCGAACTCTTTCTGCGAGAGCGGTTCTGGATCAATGTTGATATCGTTTTCCATGTACTGGCCCAATTCTGGAACCGAACGACAGCATTCCATGAAATGCGACAAAACATTAGTAGGAACACTCATTTGGGCATTGACACCCTCTGTTGCGACATAGATACGACCAAGAGTCTGGAACGGTCTCCATAAAATCTTGAGACTGAGGGCAAAATCTTCAGGATTTGCAATTCCCGACGGAGGAAATGCATAAAAGGACAGCATTGTCATGCTTTCGGATTCAGCGGGATCGGGCATACCGTTCAAATAAGCTGGCGGCGGTGGCGGAAGTGGGGCATTTGGATCTTTTCTAACATTGATCTGGATAGAGGGTCGTTTTAACACGGAGTTCGTCGGATCTTCGAAAAACTCATCCGCCATTGCAAACGTTTTGATGACGTCTTCGTCGTTTTCAATCTTCCAGGTCAAATGATCACCTTGACTGACTTCCTTTGTCAACGGCGGGTGCGAAACGACCACGATATTTCCGTCTTCGTCAAATTGAGGCAAATTTGCTGTCAAACAAAAAGTGTTCTTCCGGAGAGCCCGAAAAAAGCCGAAGATTTCGTCTTTCATTCCACGGAAGGTCGTCGTTCCTTCCGATCCTGTCTTGATAAATACCCTGCCACGCTTTTCTCGGCCGGAAAGCTTAAGTTCCTCTCGCAGTTCGTCGTCAACCCAAACTTTAACGGCATACAGCGGTGGAACTTGAAATTCTGATGATGTCGAGTTGCCGCTGACGGCGGCATTATTCTCAGTATGCAGTAATCGTTTGATATCCAAATTCCTGGATACCCGCTCTTGGGCACTTTTTTTGCTTGCAGCTCGTTTTCCGCGGTTCATCTCCAATCGACGCTCCACTATATCTTTGTTTGAAAGAAGTTTCCCTTCCATTCCAGCTGACAAGGCCGTCTGCAAGCCGATCTTGGGTGGAAACGCTGCGTCCAGTGAATTTTGATGTCGAACCAACGAAATTTCACGCTGGAAAGCCTGCGCGGCTGGAAACATCATTCTTCGACCATTACCATTGCTAATAACGCCAAGAGAATTTGTCAGACTCCTTCCAATTACCGCTAATACGCACATGATAGCGAGACGGGGACCAACTGCAAGGCCAACCAAAGGAGTCCGTGTTGGTCGAAAGGCCTGATTTTGCCCTGTCGAAAACAGAGCCATCTGAGTAATGAAATTTACTAATTGAAACAATGATACTTTAGATTGCGCCAGACGATGGTGGAAGTATGAACAATAAATCTCGTAGTAATGAAGGCTCTGCTCGATTCTGATTAAATTGTAGTTGTAGCTTAAAGTGGATCACAATCTGTCGAATGATGATGCTCGGTTTCAAAACTGATGGGTGATGATGATCTGGACGGTACGGTTACGTACCGTACGTACCAGTCTTACGCGCGTTCTGGAACGATACCAAAGGAGAGTACTTTACTGTACGTTTTAGAAGGAATATGATGTGAAAATAAGAAATAAAATATCGTACAGTACGAACGTAACGTAGACCGAATCATTCGCATTAATCGAATGCGTAGAATATCTCTATGGTCGTACCGTACGGACGAACTTTACGGGGAAACACGTCAAATGTGAACGAAGGCCAGACTAAGTAGCACGACTGGAAAGGAATGAGAATTTTTAAGTACCGTATTTTGCGTCGTATCGTGCGGATGTACGAGTCCTACGACGAAACTTCAATTCTCTTGATTTCAACAATTTGTGTCGCTCTTAGTTCGAATTGGCAAGTGGTATAACGGTATCAATAATACCAGGATGAAGTCGGAGCAATTCATAGATCGAATCGAGGTCGCTTTTTGGACCGACGGCATGATGAGCAAAGGCTGGAAGACGAGTGAGAGGATCGTATGACTCCAATGCTGGAACATTTGCATCCACAATACTTCTCAATCCTGTTTTCCACGGCAGGGAATTTTCACAAGCTGAATGCAAAGGGAGTCGACCGCGTCCATCTCTTGTAGTAGCGGGCCGATGATGGTTCGATGCTACATCCGATGGAACGACGGGATGACCAGTTGTTAGGTAATCCAATATTTTCATTGCCATTGCATGGGGTCTCTTTTTCTTGCCGTGATAAGCAGGACTACATATAGACAGTTTTTCGACCACGATGGAGAGCACCGTGTTACCAGTTTCATCGTCAACGACACAAAAATCTATTCTAAACCGCTGGATGATTCGATCCAAGATTTTCATACAATTCTTTTTTGCAATCAGAGCATCCCATGTGTGCAAAAGGAACAAATGCAGCACGGGAAATCGCTGTTGCTGCAATCTTGAAATTCCATTCCCTCCGTTATTGCAATCGTCGTTGACATCGAAATTGGTAATGTTGTCGTTGTCGGTAAAAAAGCGAACACATGTATTGACGCATTTCCAAGCATTTTCGGCATCTGGATCGCCTACACTGAGGAGCAAATGCCCGAGCGGTGACATGCCCTCGTTGTTTGGTGAGAGGAGACTTTTTTGAACCTGAAGAAGGGAATTTCTATTGTTGTTGTTGCACGATTCTCTGTTTTCGGTTCTATTGTTCAAGTTATGATATAACTCCAACAAAACCCGAACCATTTCTTCATTCTGATAATAACAGGCAAAACCCAGTGGACTCGAACCATCTTTGGGGTGGACACTGGTCAGCAATCGAATCCCATAAGCATCGGCCAGATCATAGAGGAGTGTCATATCGTAGCAGAATTCAGCAATAATCTGTGATAGACAGTCAAGATTCCTTTCCAAGTAGCTAGGATGTTGCTCCTTCAGATGGCATATTATTTTCTCTAAATCTGAACCCGCTTGTAGGGATAGCTTCAAGGGCATTTCTGACTCTGCCATCTCCTGAAACAAACCGTTATGGAAGTAGCATCTACCGTCTCTTTCGTGGTGTTTGTTGTTGCTTAGAATTTCGGCGAGAACAAAGGCAATTTCGTCATTCCAGCCATATTCTTCACAAGCAATGTGCAAGAGAGTGGTTCCGTTGGCGTTATCTGCCGTAATCATCGAGCTATCGTCCTCTTCATTGGTGCAATAGAACAAAACCGATGGATCGTCGTGAATGAGAGCTCGGACAGCTTTCCTGTTTCGACACCTGATCGCTGTGCTCGTATACCGAACGCGTTCTGACAAAGACAATTCCCTCGTCTTTGAGAGTATAAGGTCGAAAGTTGGAGAAGAAACACCCGATGGATCCAGGCATGCTCGATTCAGTGCTTGGTGTAGGAGACCTTCGAGGTTGGGGGCGTTCTTCTTCTCTGGGTGGTATGTAAAAAGAATAGCTTTGATTCGCTTCCAGTCGGTATTCTTTGGATTGCTCTGCAGAAGGGTGGAGAGTGTCTTGGAATTTTTCTTCGTGATTTGTTCCGCTGCCGATTTTGACGATGACGCCGTCGCGCTCATGGTTTGATGGCAACTATGCGTACTGTGCGAACGTAAGTGGCGTCATCAATCGTATGTTTTTACTTTTCCCTTCCATCCAACGATTTAACTTCCTGACTCCGGTAGGTGATTAGGTTCTATATAATATGTTTTCGAACACTGCTCAACTATGACGCTATTATAACAATGTCTTTGTCTCACAACATTGAGGCGGGAAATACCGGTACCAAGAAGTAAATTGGAAGATCGATGACAATATTTTGTGCAGTAACATACCGTATTTTGGAGACGTGCGCATGTGATGCAATCGGCGACCTGCTGGCGCCGTGCGCTAAGTGCAGTTGTTCCTAACTGCTCTTAGCCTGAGTTATTGTTGCCTTGTCTTTCCTTCTTCCGTTATTGCTCATGTTGGACTGGTGCCACGGGATGTTCTGGGCCTCTTGGTACTATGGTACTGTATGTTTGTACCCCTGTGGTCTGGGGTTGTAAAGATCTATGTGGTCAGTTATTCAACCTTTCATAGTGTTTGCMGAAATTAGGATTTGACTAATGTGATTAGATCTACGTGTAGTGAAATGTGTAGTAATGGTCTTGGTTTTACGAGGTGGTGGCGTCTTGATGCCGTTGACCCATAACTGTTTTGTGACTAGTTTTTCTCCATTGGAACACATACTTGCTTGGTGGTAGGCCCATTGTATTCCAGTGGTACTGGGGGAATGTGGGGTGTCAGCCCTAGTTCCCATGTTCAGTGCTGTTGGAGTTTTTGTCCCTGTCGGAGCCAGGTGGCGCTGCAGGGATGGTGCAGCGCACCTCGTAGGTGGATAGGATGCGGAGGCCCTTGCCGTATTCATACTGACATGGTTGGGTGCTGTTGTGCCACACTGGAAAGAACTTACTGCCAAGCTTTTGCTGCATGAGTTTGTGGGGGTTCGTTTTGGAGCAGCCTGGGTGGATAAGATAACATAATTTCTTCCTTCTCTCACTAAAGTGGGTTTTTCCAGAATACAGATCAGAATACATATGGATTGCATTGTTGAGTATTGGAAACGACGTACAGACGAGAGACAGAAATAGGCAAATAGCCACTGCGAAAAGTTGGATACCCCGCAAATATGATAGCCTTACACCCCAACAAGCCTTCTTGGCCTCGTCATTCTCGAAAGTATTGCGGTGAAGGACTGCCACGGTAGGATGAGACATGATGTGAAACAGGAAAAACCCACTTTAGTGAGAGAAGGGGAAAATTTTGTGCAGTCTTGCTCAGTTCTGTCAATCTGCAGTTTTAGGTTTGATGTCTTGATTACAATAATGTAATCTGATCATCTGTCACCATTTATAATTTTTGAATGTGTTGTTTTGAGAAACTCAGAAAGTATGCCATCATTTCTTCTGCAATTGTCTGCATTACTTTATGTTGTTGTTGCTTCTTGCATAAGCAACAAGATCTTCTGGGAATTTGTCCCAAGGTTTTGCAATTCTTGAATTGATAATTTGAACATGGTGCTCTTCTTTTTTAAGCCATTTTTTCTCCTTTTCTTTAATCAATCAGTCATATTTTTAAGTGTCAAAACAAAAGCCGCAGCAACAATCAAGGTATGCATTTTCCTGGTCCCTAGTATCATTTCAAATATCATTCAACTTTCCACAGCAGTACTAGTAGTACTAGTACTATTAGTAGAGTCTGATATTTTCCAAGTGGAAAGTATGGTGATGGTGAGGAATGTGTTACTAGCTTATCTAGTGAATTTTACTTTCTATTGACAGTGCTTGTCCTGAATGTTACTACATTTGTAATAACATGATCCGTGTTACTACTAGTAATGTTAGGCAACCACTGCTGGTGGTAACATTAAGTGGACAAGCAGTATCCTCAAGGTTGTAGCTTTGTGGAAGTTTCTATACATTGTTATCTCCTGCCACCCTGATAGGAATGTACTTGTCAAAGAGTTTTGCAATGACATCCTACCAATTGGTGCTAATGCAGTTCTCAAACAAGAACAGATGTATCAATTTCATTACTGATGCTGCTGTCTATATACCCACCAGCAGAATGACAGCATCCATATCCTCCACTGTTCTCATGTAAGTTGATACTATCTTATTGTTGCTGAAGGCAATGACAATTATTGGATTCCTACCTATTCCCACTAGAACCTTGCCCAGCTGTATTTTGGAATAGTTTGATAATACTGTGTTACTCTACTAGAAAAATATTCCAAGAGTCTCCATCTAGCAAAACACTACTACTACTATTAGACCAACATCAGTTGGCACCATGATCTTTTTACAGTGGACCACATATCCTGCTAGTAGTAGCATTGGTGGATCTCRTATACAGATCTCAATTCAGATTCCTCACTTTTCCCTGTGGGTTTAGGAGCCTCCTTGTTTGAAATCTTTTTTGTGTTTTATATTGCTCTGTTGGAGCAAAACAATAAGGTTTTCAGTGGTCACACTATTCTCCAGGAGCAACCTTACTACTACACCAGTCATGGTTAGTACTAATAAATAGAGCAGACACATTTTCCTCTCTACCCCAAAGAATGATCAATCATGACTATGACTGATATTTTTGAGTCTTGGGAGCAATTTGGTTCTCTTCAATATTGGAATAATTGATCATCAAAATAATGACTAAATGTTTGAGTTTTAAATGAACAATCTGTTTTTTGCCAAGGTACTAAATTATTTCAATTTTGGGGTACTAGGGTCTACATAGATTCTACACCCAAAAAAAAACAAGTTTCTTTTTGTTTCTTCAGAGCAGTGACAATTCTTTAAGGTCAGCAGCTCCTGTGGACAGCAAGTGAAAAGTGGTAATCCAATCCACCATAGCCAATGCAAAGTGGGTGCGCAGGAGGATTAAGAAGAACAAGAAGCCAAAACATTGTGAACAGAGGAACATTAATAGAATAATATGTGTCATAGTACTACTAGTAGTAGTACAGTTCAAATATAGACAAGTGATTACCAATTATTGTGGTCAGAATGAAACTAAAAGAATGAAGAAAGAAATTCATGAAACCACTCCTCCTACCATACATGTTTGTTGTTTCAAAATATAGTACATGGGTTTCTAGTGAAGGAACAGAAGGTGCTGTATGACAAATCAAAACAGCAGGCACAATGGGAGGAGGAAAAGGTTTCAAGTTCATTTTGGAATTGCATTGATGAACAAAGAAGGTATTCAAATGGATTGGAGAGCTCCATATGATGAAGATTCTAGTACTAAGTCAAAGTGGATGCCTTCTTGTAGTTTGAAAAATGGAAAAGATCACCCTAGTAGTAGAAGTAACTGTGGCATATGTTTCTTGTTCAGTTTGGGCAAATAAAAAGATTAGCACTGTCCATTGCTCAAGGAACTTCTAAAACAATGTACAAAAAGATGTAGCCAGAACTATGAAGAAGTGAAGAGAAACCATAATATTGTTTTTTAGGAGAAGTAAAGGAAAAGAATCCTTACTCTTCAATGAGGAAAATTGAGTTGTTCACCACAAAGGATTAACAATACTAGGTCTAGCACTACTACTAGTATGAAGATGTCAAGGAATGGTTGCAGAAGTTGGGATGTTGCATAGAAAAACAAAATGCAATTTTGTGAGGAGGATATATGATCCTGGAAGATCTAGTCCCACTGCACGAGATTACGTGTACTCTCTTAGTAAGTGTTTTAAGTGTGTATGAAAATTGAATTATAAGATTAAGATTATCGAGTGCGTTCACGAGAATTCCGAAG